AAGATGTGCAGCATGTTACTGGCTCGAACTTTCTGGCATTGCTTTGACACCCTCCGACGTTACAGTTCCTGAAGTGTTCTCAGCAAATTCCCCCACCCCAGCACCGACCAGGAAGAACTGCTAGCAAAAGATCAGTTTGCACTGAGGGATTTCATTCTGTGTGTGTAATGTTTGTAAACCCGTCCAGTTCCACAGAGGGTTGACAGCAATGCATGGTGACATCTTCCCTGCATGAGCTGCTCTGATCTAATTCAGCAAAACAGCATCCCAAAGGGGTTTGCTGGGCGCTACGAAATCTGTCTGACAGCTGTGCAAGGCGTGGGGGATCTCCTGGCAGGACTGCTCTCAGACGGGTCTGGAGGAAGGACCATCCGTACTGGCAGAGGTGTTTAACTGGGGACAGCTCTTTGCATTCTTCTCTCTAAATCAGGCTCATGTCCAGCAACATGAGCCCTAGTAAGTCCATGCTGGAGCAGTGCAGACAGCCAATTCCTAGTGGTGTTGCCACTCTGGCGTGTCTCAAGCCCTTTTGAGTGTCCCAAACCCATTGCAAAAGGGACCCCTGGAAAGAAGGACCTGTGAGCCACAGCTTCTTGCCCTCCTGGAGAAAATCTCAGGTATGCAGGTGGTGGCATATCCAAAAAATATGTGTGGAGGGAAGGCAGTCTACTGCAACTTCTGCAGCTATATCGATGGGAAATGGGAAATGACATCTGGGCTGTGTACAGGGGTTTGCTCTTAGGTGATCCTGAGCACTTGACTGTAAAGGCAGGTACATGAAAGCAGAGTCTAAACAAGTTTTAAGAGTGACCACCAGCATTAGCCACCTGGACACATTCATTCATCACTATTGGTTTATGAATATTTGGGAAATTCTACGAATATTTCTTCCAGACTCCCTTCCCCATCCTTTCTCACTCCGGGAAAAGTGTGAGTAACAAATTATTTCTGACAGCCCCGTGTTGGTTATCAGGCAGTTACCTATTGTCAAGCACCAATATTTGTCCTGCAGATTTAATCTGACCCAGCCTGGTGCTTCCTAAAACCTAAATGGGCAATAAACCACTTCTGTTGCCTTGCTAGAGATTTTGGATGGTTGTCCTCCTCTAAGCAGCAAATATTACAAAAGAAAAAAAAATAATAATAAAATCTGGAGTCAACAGCTTGTCTCTCTAATAGTGACTGACTTCCTAGCACTGTGCATGGATTCACACCAAAGACACACAAAAAAAGGGAGGTGTGCCAAAACCCCAGGTTGGACAGCACCATAAAACACGGTGTGGCGCCTCCTAAAACATCTGCACCCCCTGTCCTGCTGCAGGAGGGGTTGGCAAGTTAGCGTGGCAGGGTCTGGTGGCAGTGCTCTGTTACACAAAGCCTTTTGTGTGCCATTTCCAAGCTGGCACGCGGTGTCACCTTCACACTTCTGCACCCCAGACCCTGCTGCATTCGCATGGTGAAGGAAATAATCTCCTGAAGGAGAGTCAGATCTCATCGTCCAACCAAGTGCACTTTGAGAGACCTGCTGCAGGAGAAGCAGGGCTCTGTTAAGGCGTTGGGAAGAGGCAGGTTTTTCTCTTCCTGCTGCACGTTAGGAGTGCCTTTATGTGAGTGTCACCGAGGTAAGCAAGAGCAGAAACAGATGTGGAGCAGCGCTGCAAACAGGATGTGAAAATAAACTCATTACCCCATCTGCCCACCGTAAACAGCGTGAAATTAGCGGCAAGCGAGGAATAAAAATTCAGACAAATGGGCTTTTAAAGAGAGCAGAGGGAGCTGGAAGTTGTGCTATTAGAAAAGCAGAGGCACAAAAAGCCCAAGCCACTGCACAACCCGGCACATACACCCAGCCCCACCGACCAGGGGCAGATATGGAGAGAAATCCCATGGTGGAAGCATCATTAAAGTGCTATTTCTGAAGGCAAAACCAGAAGGGCTGCTCTGCCTATGGGAGAGAAAAACCTAATGTTGCTTTTGTCCCTGCCTGTTAGCAAGCGCTGTCTATTTTATGTCACCGAGATTTTTTTTTTTACCTTTTTTTTTTTTTTTTTCTTTCCCTGAGAGGCGCTCTCTTAATGTTGCATAAAATTACTCTCTCAGGGGTAGTGCGAGGAGGAAAAACGCAGTGTTATGTTGTCTCAGTTGCAAAGACGTCGCTGACAATAGAAGCCCCTGAATGATTTGGTTTTTAAGTGACATGATTATGGAGCGGGTCATTCGTGACGCTCCAGTTAAAGTTGCTTCAAGCACCTCTGCTGTAAAGCCTGCACGGTGGTGTTTTATGCCCCAGGCTTGGGCTGTAAATATTCACCCCCGGCCTTTGTTCTGCGAAGCAAGCCTCGGCTTGAGGATATATTTACTTAAAATTTTGCAGGAAATTTCTCAAATGGTCAATCCGCTTGATTTATTTAAAGTGGGATCCCAAAGTGTTTTACAGCTTTTACAGGCTGGCTGTGTTTATATCTGTCCTGGGGAGGATCGTCTGCCACTCATGTAGCAGAGAGGGGGAAGGAAGGTTATAATTCCTATTTTAAGTTACTTTTTTAGCAGCTGACATGACACTGACAAAGTCATCTCTTCTAGAATAAAACCTGCCATGCTTTATCGTAGGCCAGAGGAGATCCTTTGGAGTAAGTCAAGGCAAAATAAGTCAAGCGCTTTTCTTTTTTTTTCTCTTTTTCTTTTTTTTTTCCTATAGATTCTGCTCAGAAAGGTTGTGCATGGAAAATTCAGCAGTGCCTGAAAGCAGAGACTCTAGCTCCGGCTCGCTTTATAGATCTCAGAGAAATTGCAGACCAAATGATATTTCAAGGAAACTGGTTCCTTGTGTTCTGAGTTCTTCAAGATATGACAGCCCAAGGCAGAGTTTCCTATGTGTTGGAAATAATTTCTCTCTCCACATTTGGCAGATCCGAACAAGCCTTGAGTGCTAAACAAACCAGGTCTATGAATAAATCAGGGGAAGGGGAACTGAAATTTGAGGTGTTGTGAGATTTGTGATAACTGAGAGCTTGTCATTGGCCATGAGGCACCGCGAAATAGTCTGGAGTTTGACAAAAGTTTCTGCATTTGGGATGCCATTGGGCTGTTTCAGGAGAAACCTCCTGGTGGGTTCACCCAAAGTTTGTAATAAACGTAATTGAAATATCTGAATTCCAGCTGCTACCTTCCACTCTAATCAACAGAAACAGCAGCTTCTAAGGAAACACCCTGACACTGCCAGGAAGGGGAATGGGTGCATCGGGCTCAAGTCCTGCATGAGGAGGGCAGCAAAGGCAGGGAGGGTGCCGAAATTTGGGGCCTGGGAGGCAGCAGGTGGAAGGAGGGAACAGAGATCCCATGGCAGGAATCAATAGGAAATCGGAGGGAGTGGAGATTTCTTAAAGCTCTCAGGGATGGAAACCTGGGGGCCACATTTCAGAGAGAGAATTTGTTGGTGTTGTCCGAGTTGGCTCTCACCAGGAGCAGACCCTGGAGGGGATTCAACATGAGAAGGGCTCCCAGTTTTATCCACCCCATGAAGCTGTAATGTATTCCCATCCAGATGAGCAATGTTGGGGGGTAAGGATTTCCTTTTGGGAACCCTTTGAGAAATCCTCCTTCAAGGTCATAGCAGCACCTTCTGCTTTTGTAGTGTAGCAGAATCCAAAGATCACATTTACAGGCATGAGGACTGAAACTCCCCTGCCATAAACCAGGGTTCCAGTCTTCACCACTCCCCCAGGCCATGGTGCAGCCTGTGCCTGACCCATGTCGACATGCTCCAGAGCACCACAATGACTGGAAGGGATGCAATTCTCCTCGTCTCCTGTGCTGTCCCCACCATGGGTGCCACCGTGCCCCGCTGAGCACAGCTGAGCCTCTGACCCCATCGTTGCCAGGGTGCAGCGATGCTCACATGAGCCTTGGAGTGATCCTAAGTCAGGACCCATCCCCAGCAGTCAGTCTGGATGTGGCCAGCCAGCTGGAGAGTGGAAGAGCATTTAATAGCATGGAAATGGTCTGCTGCAGGCCGTGGGGACACAGCAGCACCGAGCCCTGCTGGGCACGTTTAATTTACTGGTGTGTGGTAGCACTGATGCCTTCCTCCTGTGCTTTTCTCTGTCCTCACAGCAGGGGGAACAGAGCAGCACTTTGTGTTTTCACAAGTAATTCTGAGGAGAATTCGCAGGAGCTTGGAAAAAGCCGAGATAAAACAGTGGGAGTCCTGGGGAGGTGGTGACAATGAACAAGGGACACGTGTGAGCTAAATCCATGTCAAAACACTCCGCATGGGGCAGCTCATAGCTTCAAGGAGGTGTGGGCAGGGTTAAATCATGTGCAAGGAGAAGTGAGTGGGGTCTCCAGGAGGACTGGGCTTCTGTTATCTTTGGAGGATGGAGATGAAATTGAAAAGTGAGGGAAGCAAAGGGTTCGGAGAGGTTTTTGTGCTCCAAGCAGGAAAGGACAAGCATCGGGAACCAGATGCATGTATACTCCTGCTTCCATGCTGACCCCATCTGGGGTCCCTCTCTCAAATCAGGAAGACCCTGGGCCCAAGGATGAAGGTGACCTCTCCTTTTGGCTCCTCAACCAGAGGTGTGGGAGGGGAGGCCACGTGCATCCCTCTGCTGCTGGTGGCCCAAAACTTTGGGAGAGAGGGCTGGGTTGGAGTGCTGAAGCTCAGGTTGAACCAAGCCTCCCCAACATCCCGGTTCCCTTCTCCCAGTCCTCTCCTTTCACTCCTCCCTGATGCTGCTGGGCAATGCTGAAGCACACTTGGCCAGGTAAAATATTTACCCTCGTATGGGGCAGCTCCTGAGTAGGGGTGGTGAGCATGGGCATTTACACCCCCAGCCGACCTGCTGGGGAGCCACCCACCTGCTTAAGGGCTACAGAAACACGGTCAGTGCTTGTAGAGCGGGTAGTGAAGAGGGTGATTTCAATCTCTTTAAGTGAAGACGAACATCCCTGGGGTTGCTCCATCACCCTCACGCCCTCCCTCTCCCTTTTTCTTGCAGAAGGTATGGCGGAAGCTGTCAGCTCGAGCAGGGACTGCCTCCAAGCAGGCGAGTCCTGCACCAACGACCCCATCTGCAGCTCCAAATTCAGGACCCTCCGGCAATGCATCGCAGGCAACGGAGCCAACAAGCTGGGCCCCGACGCCAAGAACCAGTGCCGGAGCACGGTGACGGCCCTGCTCTCCAGCCAGCTCTACGGCTGCAAGTGCAAGCGGGGCATGAAGAAGGAGAAGCACTGCTTGAGCGTCTACTGGAGCATCCACCACACGCTGATGGAAGGTCAGTTGGGTGGGTGCTCTTTTCTCATGGTCTTCTTAAAAAGAAACTGCTGCTGGGGCTTTCTGTAGAGGTCCCCGGAACCCAAGTCAAGGGTTGGACCTGATGATCTTTTGAGGTCCCTTCCAACCCCTTCAATTCTGTGATTCTGTGAAGTCAATGCAAAAAAGGAAAAGGTCATCTATATCATATCCTGATCCCTCTCAAGAACTACTGACCCCCAGAGTAATGGCATTTTGAGGAAAGCAATCCCAAAAACCTGAGACACCTCCTTCCTTTTTTATAAGTTGTCTTCTTTTCCACGATGTCCCCGGTATATCTTGAGATATTTGCTGGGGAAACGCATGGCATGTTTTGCATGTAAATAGAAGAACTCTAGCCAAGACCTGAAGCTCCAGATTTTATTGAAACACTATACAAAGTCTGGGCACTGAGGAAAAAAAACAGTGTGAATTTAAAACAAATCACTCTCTTGGAGGATCTCAAGAGCACCGGTGTCTTTGGGTTAGTGAAGATTTGGGGCTGGTGACATCAAGTTGGAATTTAAAGTGTTCCCAGAGCCAGTATTTAGTAAGTTTGGATTTTGACGTTTTTTAAGAGTCATCATAAAATTGCACCTCGGTGGCCATAACTCTTCGTTGTCAGGCTGGTGGGTATTTTATGCGCCATGAAAATTAAAACGGGGAATAAAACAGAACCTTCCAACCATAGGCTGCAAAATAGATTAATAAAACACTGCTGGCTGAAAGCTGAAAGGGAAGGTACAGGGGTGATAACACAGGCCAAAAGGCCAAGCAAAACAAAGAGGATGGAGACCGTAAAGCACCTGGCTTGCCAGAATGGGAACTGCTTGATCAAGTTCCCGGAAAGCTTTCAAGTAGCACAGCTTGCAGGGTGCAGAGCATGGTGCTTTGCACTGACTGGGGGAATAAGAGGCCCCAGCACCACCCAGGATCCAATCTTTCCCCTAATTACTTGCCAAGTGAAGTTGTTTGCATTGAAGCCTGGGGAAGAGGGAGCAATCCAGCCCCTCCATTCATCTTAACAGGTTGAGTCACAGCCCTTTCCCCGCTGACCCTCCTGGGCTGAAGTTTTGGACGCAGTCCATCTCCTGCCTCCTCCTCCCCCTGATTTTCTCATAAAGCAGCTCCTGTCTCCTGGCCACGCTAGCAGACACAGCTGGGTCCCTCTCCATCACTCCAGCAGCTCCCAGGTGGCCTGGCTTCCATCGCTTTTTTATGATGGGAGCTTTGCAGATCTGTTCTGGAGGGGGCACAGCTTCAGTGAGCGAGCGTGGGCAGGGGATGGGGCAACCCCACCATCAGTCTAAGAAAGCTGTTTGGCTCCAACTCAGGGACATTGATTTTTTTATTATTATTATTTTACTTTTTTTCCCAAAGGAGAGGAACTTGAGATGCTTGCCAAAGGGTGAATAGCACGAGGCAGAGCAGAGGGCTTGGTAATGAGTGGGCTGGAGACTTGTGGCTGTGCAGGACAGTGGTGCCAGGAGGATTCCCACTGCCCTGGGACCACTGCTGGAAGAGCAGAGAGAGGATGGCAGGGAGCATAGGGACCAGGTGTGGGTCTGAAGATGCTGGGTAGGAGCTGGATGGGCTCCTGCCCACTGCCCTTGGATCTCTGTCCTGGGGAAGAACATGGGAAAGGTGATATTGGAGACTGCCAAGAGTCTGCCCGACTTCTCCTCTGCTGTCATGGCCTGAGCCCTGCATTTGTGCAAGCACCAAGCTCACTTGCCATGCAGATTCACACTCCCAAACCTTTGATTTCCTTGCCTTAATTTCCCGGGGGAAATATACCTCATAATAGTCACATGTTTCCGAGTCCTTACACATGTTTAATTGACTGAGAAAAGAAGCCAGTCCACGTGCTCCGTGCGGGGCTCTGTCTTTCAGTCATACATACCCAGGAGGCTGTAAAAAGCTTCCTAGAAGCCCTCTTATAAAATCAATTGTGGAAGTGTGTGCTCAGGGAATTTACAAAGCGTACTATTTACTCAGCTTCTCTTGAGTGCGCCTGTGTTTAGCCACCTTCCCATTTGGAGACACAATAACATGATGACAACCCGATAACAATTCTCTGATAAGGTGCTATATCATCAGGACATAAAACTGCTATGCTGGAACATACAAATGGGCCCCTCTCCAGTCAGTAACGATGCAAGATATTTCAATGAAGGTGTAAAGCTGCCTTGTAATGCACCTGTGGTAATTGCACGGGGCTGTGTACCCTGGGAGCCATTTCTTCCTGACCGCAGCTGGTGATCAGCATATGCCCGGAGCAAGAGGTTTGATAGTCCTTTTATCCCAGCCAGTACATCTGCTGCTGCTGTCCGTATCCATCTAAATGTCTAATAAAAGGAAAAAAAAAAAAAAAAAAAAAGATACTGAGCTGTTTGCTTCAATAATATTCTGTAGTATCTATCAGGGTGACGGGGCATTACAGACCATTGAGCAGATAAAAGGGAAGCACCGATTGAATAAAATTAGCTTCCCAGCAACTTAAAAATGGAGAGAGGAAGTTTCTGCAGGAGCTGTGGGTCATTAGCTCAGTGCCAAGTAAGAAAGGGCTGTTTGGGAGACAGGGAGAGGTATTAATAAGTACGTAGGTGTGTGTTTTGCCAGATGCAGCACCATCCATAGCCCTACCTGTGTCCTAGAAATAGGTGAGGACCTCGGACCCTGGGAGAACCATAAAAAAAAAGTAAGAATTTTTTATTTTTTTTTTTTTTTAAATAATGGTTTTGGAAACCCTGTGTGTGTAGGGAGATGGTGGTATGAACTCTTCCCATAAACAAGAGCCTGTGCTACAGTCTGGTGTCCTCAGCAGCAATCCTGGAAGGGTGACCCAGGACTTGAGCTGTACAAGGTTGCAACTCAACAGTTCTCCGACAGGCTGATCTACCCCACAGTTGTGATATATTTTTAAAAGCCAGTTGCATCCTATTCTTCCTGTAACCTTGAGTATCCATTCACTTATGGCCTGGAGAGCACGCAACCTCATCACCAAGCCAACCTACGCTGCAGCTGTTGAACCTTGTATGTCTCAGGGTCTTCTGCTGCCTTCTCACTGACTTCTTTTCTCCCCCTCAGGCATGAACGTACTGGAGAGTTCTCCTTACGAGCCATTCATCAGGGGCTTTGATTACGTCCGGCTGGCCTCCATCACAGCAGGTAGGTGGGTGGGAAGATGCCCCTAGACTGCTCCAAAGTGGGGGGAGCTGGCTGTGGGATCAGGTGCTAGGGATGAGGTCTTGATGAGATGAGACCTTGTGGTCTCTCGTGGGCTCTTTATAAAGCATTGCATGGCTACGGTCCGGAGACCATTCTTTCAAGGAGTTGCCCATGAGTCCAGTTCTAAAACATTGGTAGAAGAACATGTCCTCAGAAGAAGCACTTGCAATTTTTATCCTTTGACTCTTTAATGCCCATACCGTGAAGGACTGGGGTTGAAGCTCTTCATGGGCATGATAGGAAGGTCTCTTGCAATGAGCCATCGTGAGTGGGCTGGCTCTCTACAGCAGGTGTGGTGCAGAAACCCTGGGAAACATTGGCTGGGTGGATATCATTAGGTACTAGGTGTTTCCACATCAGTCACAGGGCCAGACTGTGAGCAGAAAGGTCAGCAGCCCGGCCTACTGGCTTGATCCCAATCCCAACTTTTAACCCCGTGCCCCGAGGGCAACCTCAGGACTCAGCCCCGTGTTCTGCTCTGTATCATGTAATCCCCTTAATAATGTCAGCAGAGCTGCCCCACACCTTTTAACCCCCTCGAGGGCACGAACCCTCAGCCCCTCAGTTAAAAGGTCAGTGCGGTAGCAATTAAGCCATCCATCACCAACATCACAGCTGCCAGCTCTGCTCCTGCACCACAGGCATGGGGAAGCTTTACAGGCAGTGATTTTTGTCACCGAACTACCCGCCTGGGAGCAGGTTGTGCGCTCCACGTGTGTCTCTTTAGATGTGCCAGCACAGCAGCCGTGTTGCAGCTCTTCCTGACCACACACCTGATGCTGGGCTGGAGGACACAGCTGGAGCACAACCAGGAATCCCTGTATCTGATGGATGTCTGCAGTCCCCTCGACAGCATGGCACTTGTTAGGTGAAAATGTCCGGGACTGAATTAACCCATCAGCCCTTGACAATCCGACCAGCGAGGGAAGGGTGTTGCTCCCTGGCCTCACGTCTTCTTATTGACTCCACTCGGCTGATCTGAGCGTGCAAAGTGAAGCATGCACAAAGCTGTTTGCTGGGTCAGTGGCCTTTGTCATCAGAATTTTTCCTTTTTTACTGGAGGTCCTACAGGGCTCTTTGGAGCGAGGCAAAGTCCAGGGATGGGGATTTTTATGCACGATTAACACATAGTCAGGTGTTTAAAGCAGTCTGAAACTGGTTGGGCAGCAAAGCCAATGGGCCTGGAGCAGCAGGGATATGTGCCAAAGGACTCAGCATCCATAAGGCACATAAAGGTTTTGGTTTTAATTTTTCTTTCCTATTTATACTCATCACAGTCTACAACACACCTTATGACCTGTTGCCCTATGCCTGTCCAGTGCACAGAATTATAGGGTTAGCATAGCCAAAGGATCCTTTTTCAGATATACCCCCAAAATTCCCAAGAACTTGTTGAAACTTAAGACATTCATTCGCGTGACCCCACACCAGATCAGCGTGACAGGTATTTTTAATCCAATCTTACAGAAACAATACGCATGGCCACCATTAGAAGTGTACAAACAGAATTATATCCCTCCTCTCTAATTGTAGTAGTGATTTGTAAAAGCACATCCTCCGTCGTTGCGTGGGAACAGGAGAAAAGCTACTGTGTTCCCTGTGATTCATTAGCTGAATGGGTAATGAAACCCTTCCAAGTAGCTGTTTCCTACACACTTGCTGACAGCTCCCCGGTGTAAACTGATGCTCTAGCGATCTTCATCTCAAGGCATTTTTAAAGAGCAGCACCTATGTGGTAGGAACACACTGAGCAAAAAAATTTCGCCCATCATAAAATACCTGCAAAACTTGAAATTCATCTCTTAGCACACCATAAACAGCTGGAGACAAAAAAGAAGGGGAAAATAAACAGCTAAGAGAAGGAGCATCTGATAACGTTTGTGAAAACGGAGGAGCGCAGCCAGTTTTGAAGTGCTCAGAGCTACTGTCAATGCTTCTAAAACTTGTCAGTGGTGACTGGCTGGTCTTAACTCCTGGCCAAAGACAGGGCTTGACTCTGCATTAGAAATTTTTCATTTTGGGGATTTTTCCTCTGGAAAAAAAAAAAAATCATCTTCTCTGCTGGGGAAAAAAAGTCCTCCTAGTGTGCTTCAGGTCATGGGCTTAATTCAGAGAGATGGAAAACACTTTCAAATTCATTTTCTCTCTCGCACTTGGAGGACCCTCATCTTATCTCTCCTATCAGAAAGAGCCTAATGTCTTGACTGACTCTTAGCACTGCTGTGACATTTTCCCTGCTATCAAACAGAGCTCCGTCCACCTTTCAAACAGCTTCAGAATCACTATTAGACAAATGTTTTTCCGTCTTACCTATTCCTCAAATGATTTCCATCCCATGAAGACAGGGTTGTAGCTCAGGACATGGGCATGTTGGGCAGGAATGATCTGGAAAATGTTGTTTTGGGGCTGTGAGACCCAAACAGCTCTCGTGTGGCTGGGCAGGTGCTGGGATGGGCTGCTGTCTCACCAGGCCTCAGGGTGGTCAATTTGTGGTGATAAAGTGCTATAAGATGCCGAAGGTAGAGAAAAGTTTTATTTTATTAAGTGTAGGAGTTAGGAGCAGGTTCTGGGGCATGAGGTTTGTTGTGTGGCCGTGGCACCTCTTCGGAAAGGTGGGAGCAAGGTCTCCACGGGGTGCTGCAGCTTGAGGGGAGACGAGCACTAAACTCCATCCCCATTTTCTGCTGCCCCCCAGGCTCTGAGAACGAGGTGACCCAGGTGAACCGCTGCCTGGACGCCGCCAAAGCCTGCAACGTGGACGAGATGTGCCAGCGGCTGCGCACCGAGTACGTCTCCTTCTGCATCCGCCGCCTGGCCCGGGCCGACACCTGCAACCGCTCCAAGTGCCACAAGGCCCTGCGCAAGTTTTTTGACCGCGTGCCACCCGAATACACCCACGAGCTTCTCTTCTGCCCCTGCGACGACACGGCTTGCGCCGAGCGCCGGCGGCAGACCATCGTTCCTGCCTGCTCCTACGAGTCCAAGGAGAAACCCAACTGCCTGGCGCCCCTGGACTCCTGCCGGGAGAACTACGTCTGCAGGTAGGTTCAGGTGGGTGAGGTGGAGAACTGGTGGGCCAAGCTAGAGGATCGTGGTGGACACATCCATCTCGCCACAGCTCATCCATGTAGGCCACTGCCTGAGTGATTCCTTCCCGTGGTCCATCTCCTGGTCTCGTACCCTGATATGGAAGGCGTTAAGAGACAGATTTCATAGCTTTGTGTTGGAGCCGTTTTTGACCTCTCCCATCAGTTTTGGATTCGGTCCCAAAGACAGACCTGCTATGGGAATAGCTCCAGGAAGGTGCAAGCAAAGCAGGGACGCAGAGTGGGGTCCACTCAGCCTCATGCAGGCACAGACCTGCCCTAATGTGCACCTCAGATATACCCCCCTTACATGATTTTCCTTCAGTTCCACTATATTTACCCCTCCATTCTCAAAAGGTCTTGATATTCCAGAAGGTTAATCCACGTACAACTCTTGGGGTGGATGGCATCCATCCACAGGAGATGTAAGCTGTACCACTCCAAACATGCAGTGATGCTCCCAGCCCAGTATCCTCCGTGCAGTTTTGGCCATGAGCAGACACCTAGAGAAGAGCACAAGAGCAAGGCCAGCACAGGACACATCTCCCAGTCCCATCCCAGCCTCTAATTATTCTGGGTTTTGGGATTTCCCGAGCTGAACTCCCAGCAGCCATCCACTGCCAGAACATCATCATTAAAGTACATTAAAACAAACCTTGTATTTTCAGAAGGGGAAGTGAGGGCAGCACATGTCCTTTTGGAAAGGTGGACTAGCATTAATGCCCTCATCCCTCTGCACCCAAATATGCTGCTAATGGACAAAAATTGAGCAACAGAGCTGAAGCTGACTCTGAAAGATGCAAAGCCCCTGAGCCACACCAGCTCTTACTTGGAGATTTCCCCCAGCTACCTAGGGAATCCCAAATTGTGGGGTACTGCCCTCTCCCTAACAAGGCAAGTGGACCCAGGAGGGAAGAGGAGGATCAAAGGGGAAAGTGTTGCTTCCCAGGAGGCTGGAAACCATTTCCTGCAAGCAGCACAGCTGTTAATTATCTGGTTCCTTGGTCTCTGAATATATAATATAAAACATCCTCTAGAGACACGGCGGGAGCAAGGGGTTGACGTGTGACCCGGTCAAAGGCAGCAGTGCAGAAACCACAAGGAGAGCCAGGAACAACACATCATGGCACTTTAGAGGAGTAAAATACTCCAGGCTAATCCTGCCTGTGCTGCTAAGCCTTCTTGCAGCTTCTTATCATCCATAACCTCTCAAATTTCCCCGCTTGGAGGTGTGGGCTTTGCTAACGTGAATGATACAAAACCGCAATCCACATCTCTCCCCCTCCAAATAATACAGCATAAATTTGTTCAGTGTTTTTTGCCTGGCTGTGGCACAGGAGAGAGAGGTTGATGCTATATAAGGAACCTTAGGACATCTTCCCTGGGCCCTGGTTGCCTGCCTCATGGATCTGTATCTCCAGTAGTGTGTCCTACCTGAAAGTCCCATGTAGATGTCTTAGGTATCCTGCAGTGTCCAAATACCACTAGATGTGCCAACAACGGAGCCACCCCTAAACCACTGGGTGTCAAATACCTGGCTGGCAGCATGATTTACAGAGCTTATCCACCCAAGAAGTAGGGAAGCCACATACAAGGAGCACCTTGGCACATCTGAATGATTCACCTGCTTCCTTGCACGGCCTGGAGGGTCCCAACAAGACCAGGTTTGGGTCTCAAAGCCCCTTTCTTCTGAGCCATTTGTTGTTTTTACCCAGACCACACAAAACTCAAGGCACAACAGAGGTGAGAGGAGCATGGCTTGCACCTCCTGTTCCACAGGCTCCAAAGAGTCCAAACATCTCCTGCCTGTAGCAGAGGAGGTGGCAACAGCCACGATGATGGTTAGAGCATATCTGAGCCTTGGGGCATTGCCCTTAATCTGAAGATGTCCTCGGCTACATTTAGAGCATAATCTTTGGAGAGAGAGAAATTGGGCCAGAGTGATTCTCTCTCTCAGCAATTCAGTCCAAAAATGAAGGCTTAGGTCTCTAGGGGAAGTTAGTACCCAGAAGTCAGGTAATGGCAGTAGGGAACGAATTCCCTCGCTGCCTACAACAGCTCTTCCTCGGAAAATCAGCTTCGTACATCAGAAAACAAACATTACTTCCAAGACTGCACCTTTCTTGCAGTCCCAGGGGAGGCCTGTAAAACACGACCTACAGCACCTATTCATTCTCCTCTCCGAGTGATTAAACCCACTTCTGGATTGCTGGAGGGGGCAGGAGAGAAGAAAACCTGTGATATTTATCCAAACCAGCTTAGCAACAACCGCAGCAGCAAAGGATCGCGTGAACACATCCCCTTCTGTGCAATCACATTCGGCACCTCCAGCGTGCTATTATGTCCCTTTTTGCCCCAAATAAGTGCTAATAAGTCCCGTTTTGTGCTCTCTCTCCATCAGGTCACGCTATGCAGAGTTCCAGTTCAATTGCCAGCCGTCCCTGCAGGCTGCGAGCGGCTGCCGGCGGGACAGTTATGCTGCCTGCCTGCTGGCATACACCGGCATCATAGGTGAGCTGGGCTCCATAATTCATGTTTCATAATTCATCCTTCATCTGCTCTAAAAGCTGTGAGGTGGGCATCCGAGGCTGGGAGCGCACAGAATTGTTGGTTTTTCTCTCTGCTGTGCCCAAGCCATGAGCATTGGGTAATTTTATGATAGCTGCAGCAGAGGCAGAAAAAAATCCGCACCCTAACAGAAGCTCGGGATGATGGGGTGACCCCAGGCATCTGCTCTGGTGGGTGTTCCCTGATCACATCGCTGGTGATGCCCTGGGAAATCACCATCCCCTGCCATCTCGCTGATTGCAGATGTCAGATTGGGTTTGCAGATGCTGCAGAGACCCAGCTGGCAGCTGTTAGCACGAGCACAGCCAGAGTCCAAAGAGAAGCACCAATGTGCTGGTCCATCCCAAGGGATAAATTGACAGCTCATTGGGTCAAGATTTCTTTGTGGTTTAATCCTTCGTTTGTTGTCTCTGACCATTCTGGAGGCTGTGACTTTTCTAGTGACGATGTGACACAGGTTCACATACAGTTTTTGAATGTTATTTGGGAACCTGAGCTCCCAGGAGTTGCCCCTTCCTTAGGCTGATAGCCCACTTTGATCGACTGAAGGCTTTGTTGGTGGAGGGGTGAAAAAAAGGCAAAAAAGGGAAATGTCCCATCCCCTCCTGAAATACCGGCTTTGTAGTAACACTTCTCATCCTTCCCCGCAGGCAGCCCCATCACTCCCAACTACATCGACAACTCGACCTCCAGCATAGCCCCCTGGTGCACGTGCAACGCTAGTGGCAACCGGCAGGAAGAGTGCGAGAGCTTTCTGCGCCTCTTCACCGACAACATCTGTCTCCGTGAGTATCGCCAGGAGTCCTCCAGCAGCATTGCCCACAGGCTGGTGAGGCTCCCCGTAAAGGTCTGGGGAGCAAGGACATGGAGGTGACCTAGTCCTTTGGAGGCTGTAGGTGCCCAAATCCTCCCTGGGCTTTCAGCAAAGGAGCTCTGAAGGTCCTCAGGGATGTCATTTGGGATAGGCGGCCAAAGAAAACCGGAGAAAGGAGGTGTGTGCTTTCCCCTGCTGATGCTTTTCTCCATCTCTCTCTCACACAAAGAAAACGCCATCCTGGCCTTTGGAAATGGGACCTACCTGAACTCAGCCGTGGCCCCGTCCATCCCCCCCACCACACAGATGTACAAGCAGGAGCGAAACGCCAACAGAGCCGTGGCAACCCTCAGAGAGAACATCTTCGAGCACCTCCAGCCGACCAAGGTAGGAGAGCCTGGCCCAAGGGGATGCTTGGCTCTGTCCATGCCTGCTCCATGCCTTCCAGCCCTCCTCATCTCAGCTCCCTCATCTGCTCGTGTCATTTCAGCCAGGTGCAGATACCCAACCTTCCCTCCACCTTTAGGAGTCCCTCATCATCCTCTTCCTCATGCCCTGACATCTTCTTGCCTGAATCCATGGGCTATGCCATCCCATCCCATCCCATCCCATCCCATCCCATCCCATCCTATCCCTTGCTGCCCTCTGGCCTGTTGGTCATCATCTCCTGTCTTTCATGGGTTCTCTTGAGATATATGGGTTTTCTAGGAGTACTGGGAACATCCCTGTGCTTTTCAGGAGTGTAAAAGGGATCCATGAGCACTGGTTCAGCCCCTTGACCTGCTAGAGGTCAAGCCACGTAGGTTCAGACAAGCATTTCAGCTGCTGGAGGTCACACGTTGAGGATTAACTGACCAAGGCATGCTAAGCATTGGGAAACCTCAGCTGAAAGGTTCTAGTCAGCAGCAAATTGTTAGTATCAAATTAATATTAAATTGAAATTATTCTAAAACAAATAACAGGGTAATTTACTGATGATGACAGTAATAAGCATTAAATATTTTATTATTAAGTAAAAAGCAACGACCTTGACTTGCCACCCACCAGATTAATCTTCAGAATGAATTATTTTACTGTTGAATAATTAACACTGACCCTGATTTACTGAACGTACAGGTAACAGAAGCTGCAGTTAACTAGACTCTGAGGACCGAGTGTGGGTTTTGTGCTGGGCTAGCTGATACCTCCAGGGAGCTTCCACGTGCAGGTTTTCAAAGCTCTTTCCCTGTGTCTTTTGCTGAGAAAACACCCAAATCATCCTGCTCCACTGTTTCCACTGAGCAGTTATCAGCTCAGGAGGTGTAGACATATCAGCTTCCCTCACTACTTTTTGGGGCGTTGGTGGCCACGCACGGCACAGGGATAAATTCATCTGGCCAAAACCACAATGGTAACCAGGATTTGGAGATCTTGCTTCTGGCTGGTGGTCCCCACCCTGCACTGAGATTTTTATCCAAGCCATCACCTGCAAGTGATGCCTTCAACACCCAGGGGACATCTCCACCTGGAGAGGCCACCACATCAAACCACTGGCCAGTGGTGACTCCTTGGGCTACATGGATGTCTGTTGCTCACAGTAGATGTTCAGGTACCCATTTTACAAAAGGACATTTCCAGCCTGGTGTCCAGACCTGTGGGTTCTCTGCCCATGACCCTGGTGCCACCACCATCTTCACCACCACACGTCCAGAGCCAGGCCGAGTCTCCTCCTGCACGTGAAAACCCACAGGAAGGCTTCAGGGCTTGGAGACCCGGAATCTAGACTGATGTGGGGAACAACCCCAGCTCCTCACCCCGTGTTGTCTCCTTTCTCTTGCAGGTGGCCGGGGAGGAGCGGCTCCTGCGGGGCTCCACTCGCCTGTCCTCAGAGGCCTCCAGCCCAGCAGCTCCATCCCTCCGGGCAGAATCCCCGCTGCACTCATGGCTTCTCCCCTCTCTGGCCGTGCTGAGCCTCCTGGTGATGTGAGGCAGGGCGGGCACACGCCAGGCAGTGACTCTCTTTGTGTCGGTTTCTCTAAAAAAAAAAAACAACCAGACAAGTAACTTTTTTTGGGACCGGGGGGGGGGTGGGCTGGGGAGGAGGGAGGGGATGGGAAGGAGAGGTGAGCGTGTAGGCCCTTCCTCCTCCTCGCCCGTCTGCCAATTTCTTTGGTTTTATACAATCAGCATTGTCGACAACCAGCTCATTCTTGGTCCTGGCCACCTTTCACCCCCACAGCTCGGTTGTTGTCTCTCCAGCTCCCTGCGGATTGGGGTCGGAGCCACAGACAATTCCCTTGGAAAAGCTGAAGGAGAGAGTTGAGTCAAGAAATGAGAGCTGCAGAGGAAAAGCTTTTACCTGCCCCAGCCAAGAGGGGAAAGACTTTTTCTGGCTGAGCTGCCAGGAGGTTTCCTGGAGCCCTGCCTCACGGCGCGGGGCCCTGGGCAGGACAAGTCAACGATGTGTGGTTCAGACCATCTCCAGGGTTGGGTCTGGGACCCAAAGGGCAGCCCACCTGGTTCGGAGTGAAGAAACCAGAGCTGCTGGTGAGAAGAAGGTGGTTGGGTTTGTTCACCTGAAGCACCTCGGGGTGGTGCATGTGGCCACAAACCGAACGGGCTCACAGGGACCTGCATGCAGCAGGCACGTCCCGATGGTGTTCAGGAAGAGACACGCCTGGTGTTTTGTTTATGGCTGCCTTTCTTCATGTCCCAACCCTAACATCTCTATTTACTGGTCCCGTGAAGCGTTTCGGGTAGGTATTTTTTCGTTATGGAAGTCAGGGGGCAATGTCAGCCCACTCTGAGCCTTCTCTGTGTGGGGTAAATTTGATCCCATGGGTAGGGCTCTATGGGGGTGTTTCACAACTTGTTCTCATGAGCTACCTGAGCATCACTTGGTCTGGCAGAGAGACAGAGGGACTTCACTTGGGGACATCATTAATATTTCAAGGAAAAGAGAGGATACAAGAGGTTTGCTAGCTACCACCATGGGGACAGAAATCCAGCCAGTTTCCAGAAAGCTCAAGGCATAAATCACATCACCAGTAGGATTGCTGCAGTTCCCATCCTTGAAGAGCTGGTGGAGGAACTCGTTTGTGTCCAGGTTGGCTCGTGAAGGACAGTGGCCCCATCAAGTGCCAGCTGCTCAGCCACAAGGTGGTTGAAGCCAAGGCTGGTGCTGGACCCACGCAGAAGGAGGGATGGTGAGGACAAACCTCGCCCTGGTTGCTCAGGGCACAAGAAGGCAAATGTGTGGCTTTGGGATATGTGAGAACTCGGGGGTCTTCCCCTGAGGAGGAGAGCTGAGGTCTCCCCGTGCCCTTTGGGGAGCTGAACCCCTTGCTAGATCCAGCCGATGAAGAAGATGGGAAGGAAGGGTGAGAAGGTTTCCCAGGACAAATGCTCACCCGGGTTGGTGGCCACAGGGAGGCACAGGAATAGCTCCAGGTTTTCCCCCTGAGCTTTGCAGCAGCCCATTCACTCCTTGGTTTATGCTTCCCCAAGGAAGAACATTATTTTTTTATCATACAGATGCATGGAAAAGCTTAGCAGCAGCTGGCGTGGCAAAGCCCAGTGTTTTTTATTCCCATTCCCTGCAGGACACCTTCCATTGCTTTGATACTGAGACTTTGCTGAGAAACTGCAAAGGTGAGAAACCTTTGGGTTTGGGTCCAATATGAGCCCATTGTTGTTTCCAAACAGACATCTGTGGATGCACAGAAACCCTCCTGGCTTCATCCTATCTGCAGGGCTGCACCTGGGAGGTCCTTGGGGCTGTAGCACCTGGGTGTCCTAGCCCAGGACCATGAAAAGGGTCCTGAAACATGCCAAAATCCAAGCTGTGCATGCCAGGCCACCGGGCTGAGCCGAAATGTGCAAAACCTCCCCTGCCAGGAGGCTCACCCAGTGCCAGGAATGCAGCCAGGGAGGTTGAGGCACAGACCCCAAATCCCTGACCTCCCTTCGGACCACCATAGCCAGGCTCTGAGCTGCTGCAGTCATTTTCCCCTTACCCAGGGCATCGGTGTCCCCTGCCAATGTGTCTCCCCAAGGAGAGCAGCCTTTTGCTGCTCTCCTTGCCTCCCGCTCTGCTCTATGCTCAAGGTGGGTCTCCACCAGCCTTCAGTCTCCTTGCAGGGGCTGAATTTTGGGGTGGCCTTTGTCTCGTGGACGCTGGCGGTGGTGTCGAAATGCCACTTTGCCCTTTCCTTCTCTGATAACCAACCAGCAGAAGCAGGCTTTTCCTAGGTGGCCAGGAGAGCTGGTAAGCCAGTTTCAGCTCTCCTTTAAGGCTAGCAAGCTGTGAGAAGCAGATGTGGAGAACCCTAATACAGGCTGCTAGGGATGGAGGAGACCTCCAGGGGTCACCTGCTCCATGACCACGTCCCACGGCAGGGATCCTCTCTGTTTACACTTTTTGGCAGATTTATCTTAACCTGTTTCTAACCATTCCACTCTCAGAGGCGCTGGCATCTCCTCTGGATTTCTATCACTCTTTAAAGGCGTTTTAGGATGTGAGCTGTCCCCGAGCACTGCAGGCCAAAGAGACTCTCGGTTCCCATTTCAGGTTCTTCTCAGGTCCTCAGTTTTGGGAGGATGGCAGAAGTGCCCTCGGGCTGCAGAAGGTGACAGCCAACCCCCGTGGATCGGATCACGGAGGCTGAAAAAAAAATGGTAAAGGTCTGTAGGGATCCCTGCCAAATCCAGAGGGCGAGTTGGGTCTTCGTTACGGTCTTGGTGGAGGGGTCTGAAAAGCAGAGCTGGTGTTGCAGGTCTGAAATGGCCTCGCTGTCCTCATCCTTTGTCCTGTGCTGGGGATTTGGAAGCTGAATCCCCAAAACCATGGCTCAGGCCAGCTTCTGCCTCCTCCTGGGCTCTGGGGATGCTCCAAGACGAAGCGAGGCAGGAGCAGTGAGCCTCTGCACAGCAGGGAAAGGCCAGCGGATGGGGGGTGGTAATGCCGTGTAGAGATCAAAAAAATAAATAAATCCAAAAACCTGCATGAATTTTCCTGACCATTTCACCCTTTTTGCCAATGTTTAACGTCCGCTCTCCCTCCCAGTGCATTCACAAATGAAACTTCGCAAAAAAAAGATGTTTTTTTGAGGAGCCCTTTGGGAGGTAGGAGACCTGATTACATCCCCCCAACAGGAGGGCACAGACCGTTTGTTTTCCCTTGTGAAAAGGGATTTTTTTGGGAGAACTTTCAGCTCCGCTGAGCACCACGAAGCGAACCCCGGATCTTCATTTTTAAGCTTCTCGATGGACCACCGAAGCCACAGCAGCTGCCTGTAAAGGGAAAGGACTGAGTGAGCCCAGAAAGACGACTTGCTGGGAATCACTCCCTACCTGGGGACTTCCATAAGCACAAAGAAGAAAAATGGAGGGGAAAAACAAAAAATTGACCAGCCCAACCCTCTGTAGCCACGTTATGGCCAAAACAAGAGGGTGAGCAGGGAGGGAAAACGGTGCTGGAGCAATAACCCCGCGGGTGGCAGGGTGAGGAGTGTGCGCACCGAGGGGAGGATGGGTGGTGTCTGCCTGTACTTATCTCTTCTGTACGAGTCAATATTCAAACATATCCATGAATAAAGCACACATGCATTTTCCTGACCCCCTGATCCTGTTTAAGGGGCCGTGCCCACGCTGGTGCATCCGCTGGTGCTGCACCATGAGGGCAGCTGGAGGAAATGGGAGGATTTTTGGGGGGTCTGGCAGAGCAGTGGGGCTCAGAGACTTTGTGCTTGGCTGGAAACCCAACTCTGATCCTCTGCATCCCAACCAGGAGGGAGAAAGGTGAGAAACCAGCTCTGCTGTGACACAACCCAACGGAGAGGCATCGGTGCCACCCGCGGAGGGGACACGGCCCCGTGCACATCCTGGGGCTGCTGGTGCTGAAGACATGGAAAAGACACATGCAGGGCTCTGGGGAAATTTTGGGGAAGGTTTAGCTCAAAACTGGTGCCAGCACAGGAGGAGGGGAGGTGGAGGAGAAGGGAGGGCAGCGGTTCACGTCGGCCGGGGAGACGTTTGTTCGTGCCGCCAGCATCTGTGAGCTATTTTTGGCATCTAAAAGAGAAAGAAAAAGAAAGAAAGGGATCACGTGGAAATTGATTAGAGGCAAATTGAATGTTTTCTTGCCAATTTTAGGTGAAAAAAAAAAAAAAATCTACAAAACAAATGTATATAAAATTTACATAAAAATACCGAGTGAAATGCAAGTCGGATCCTAAACACAAAGTGAGATCAAGGTCAGAAACGTTGCACCTTACCCTCCCCAAAATCCCCTTTGCTTTCCTCCATGTATGAAGCTGTTGACAGTGCAGGGGGGGAGCAAAGCCTGTGGGTTAGGGCTGGATTTGGGACCCTCTTTCCTTCCCACCCTGATTTCCCCATGTCTTCTCCCCACTGCAGCCTGTTTCAAGGCTTCCACCCCAGTTTTCACCCCCTCATCCCTCCCCAGCAGCCTTCCCCTTCCACTTTTCTCTCCCCCCACCCCAGTTTGGTCCATGGAGGTTTTGCAGACACACCGAAAATGTGCTGGGGAAGTTCCAGCCGGATGAACCTGAAATGTGCTGTGAAAACACTGCAGGTTTGATGGATTTTCCCCGCTGCTCAGCCCAAGGTCAGCACCAAAACCCCACGGGGGCCAGTGCTGAGCACCCAGCTCTTCTGGGACATGGGGTTGGGGACCCTGCTGGGACAAGGGGGACCCGTGGGTGGCCTCAGCCTCTCTGGGTGCTGTGAGCTGGTGCTGGAGGAGCCCATGGGGTGCCCAAAGTCGTGAGCTATGTCCATGTACCTGGGGGTACGCACTGGTGCAGCTGGTGTTGGTGTGATTGGGGCTGAGAAGCACAGGACCAGGTAAAGTATCCCTCAAGCTGCCTCAAGTACACCAGTGAATTGCCCTGCATTGGGGCAGAGAAGAGATTTTGGAGCAGGAGCCCCACTGAAAGCTGGAGGGGGCTTTTTGTGATCCCCATCTCCACGTCGGGTATGTTTTGGGGGCACTGCCTGTGCCCAAAACCAAACCAAGCCCCCTCCCTCCCACCAGGCACAGCAGCCCAGGGACAGATGCTGAAGCAAGAGCAGGTGAAGTGCTTTTCCCTCACTTCTAGATAAACAAACCCCAAATCCTATAACCTCTGGATCCCCATGGGGCAGAGAGGAGCCTGGGCATCCCCGGTGGTTCAGAGACACCCACGGGTGGGACCCGGGGGGGTGCAGCCACCCCTTCCCCATCACACTGCAGCTGCAGACAGCACAAATGAACCCCCCCGGCTGTTGTACGAGCACTGCCAGGGGAAGTTTAGGGCAGAAACAACAATTTCTGGTTCTCTGCCTCCGTGCAAGCGGTGCTAATGTGCTGGTAGGGGTGGCTGCGCCTCGCCTTGGTTATTAAAATGTCGCCTTTCCGTGCCGAGTGAGGAGATGGTGGATGTTAGCCAAAGGGAAGCACCGCAAAATTAGCTCTGACATGAAAAATGGGAAATGAAATTAAATGAAAAAGGGTCAGATCGTGTGCCCCAAGGTGGTTGGGACCATCGGATCTTGCTCTTTGGGTTGGGCACAGGTTTGATGTCCCCTAAGACGTCCGCAGTCCAGATGCCCAAGCCTGAGCTTGTCACTGAGCCTCTGCAGTCCCCGAGGGGAAATCAGCCCTCCGAGGGCACCCATGGGTGCAGGCATGGCACGGGAAGGTGTTGCTGTCCCCCTCCAGCCATCCCAGCAGTGCTGGGAGCCCATCGATGGTGACACAGGGTCCTGAAGCTCCACCACCACCCAGAGACCCATCAGCAGGTCCCGCTGGCCTTCTTACTAAAAGATCTCCCTCACCTTTTTTATGCCTCTGAAAACATCTCGGTTATCATTTTTGTCACCTGACACCCTGCTTCATTGCTCTCTTTGGATAAGAATCAAAACCAAAAATAATAATAATAATAATAATTAAAAAAAAAAAAAAAAAAAAATGGAAAAAAATACAAGGAGAAACACAAAAACCTCCATAAAGTGGTTTTGCCCAAATGTTGAACTGCGTTAGCTGCGGGCTCTGGCTCATTTGTACACCTCCCCCTTTCCCATTCATGGGGAAAAATCGGATGTTTGTGCTTCCACCATAGCAAAAGATGCTTTTTGTACCAACCAGCGACGTGCAGCCCACCCAAGAGCTGCCTGAACCCCGTCTCCTCCTTGGGTGAGGAGCGGTGACACCCAACCTCCAGCCCAGGCTTTTCTGCAGGGGGCTAAAATCGGTCTCTTTTCACAAAAAGCCTGAAAATTGCCTCCCCACTTTGAGCAGATGATTGATATTGAAGTGTTTGGGAGAGAAATGCTGCAGAGCAAATGCCTCCCCGACTCCTTCCCCCTGTGCTCAGGGCACGTGGCAGTGCAGAAAGCCAGCCCTGGGGCTTACGCAGCTCCACGCTGCCCCTTTCCCTCCCTGCCAACCTTTTCTTTGCTCCAAGGCAAGAAGAAAAATCAGAGCGGGGCTGAAACATCTCACACCACACCTTTGCGTTTTATCCTGCTGTCCGAAACGAGCTCAAACTGCCTTTAAAACCCCTACCCCCTGCCCGCTTCATTTCAGGTCCGGACGCAGCACGCTGTGCTTTCGGAGCGGCGCGCTCGGCTCGGCGGCAATTTCGGGGAATTGGGCTTAATGCCACAGGAGCACAACGGTGTTAGGAGACGGCGCCGAATGCAAACCTTCATGGCTCATAAATGCCGGGTTCGACTCCGCTTCGTCTCAGCGGTGCTTAATTTCGAAGCCGAAGAGTGACATAAAAAGAAATGGAGGTCGCCTCGCTTCTGTGGGCATCCGGCATTCAACGAGGTTGCCAAATGGGCAGCAGATCCCCCTGGTGATCCAGTCTTGGGGGATGCTGGATTTTTTCTCTTCTGATTCAAAGAAGCAGCATCCTGGGACATCGAAGGACGCTTCCCCTGCCCACCACCCTCAGGAGACAGCCCAGGACCCAAGGGACCAGGCTCTCCCCCTGCCTGGAGAACCAGGTGGGATGGTTTGGGGACATCACAAGGCACCGTGGGGACCTCCAGCTTCGGTGGAGGACACGTCCTCCCTTCCCTCCTCCCAAATTTTGTGCCTGGCACAGCCAACACAGCCCACTTGAGAGACATGAACACCTCGAGCTCCACCCCGTGCAACTCATCCCCAAAAAGTAACCTTGAGTTATCCCCCCAGCCCCGTCTTAAAAAAAAAAGAAACCAAAAAGGAGTTTTTAACCAGATCGTCTACTTTTTATTTCAGAGGAAAGATTTGCATTATTTACTTTTATTTATATACATGTACTTCACATTTGTATTTAAAATGCACAGACCTCCCGATAATTTTCTCGTTCCTGCTTTAAATTAGCTGTTATTTTACAATACAAAAAATTATACCAAAAACTGCAGTCCTAAATGTGTGTATGTATAACACCCACAGTCCCCAGCAATGAAATAGTTTACAATACTTGCTCATATTTACATATGAATGCAATAAATGCTAAATTATACATATTAACAAACTAAGCTCAAGTCCGAACACAGATAAGAATTGTAAATAATTACAGAACGACCAAAAAAAAATAAAAATCCAGAATACAATTAATTCAAGGATCCTAGTGTAAAGGACATTTATTGTGCACAAATTTCAGAGTAATATAAAACCTGTCTTTATGTTCTTTTTGCTTTCCTTTTTATTTTTTTTTTAGAAAAAAAAAAAATTGGACTGACTTATGTTACGCTCCTCCACAATGATTTTTCTTCCTTCTTCTGGTGAGGTTTGTGGAGCCGATGAGAGGTGTGGAGGGATGGAGGGAACGCCTGGAGAGCTGCGGTCCCTGGAAGACGCACGAACGCCGTCCACGCGTAGTGTTGGAGCGATACAAACCGAACCAAACCTGCCCCGGAGCACAAGATGAAATAAAAAAACCAGCACGCAGCACCCCCAGCATGGGCTACTCATCTCGTTCAAGCAGCTATCAATGGAAAAAAAAACATGAATTTGACCAAAATTGCCAAGAGTGTGTCTGAAAATGAGGAGCGCACGCCTGCACCTCCCTTCCCTTTGCTCCCCCTGCCCTCACTGCTAAGCTTGGGGGGCTCCGAAATCCCCAAAGGCTCCTTCCCTTCCCCACCTGTCCCTGTGGCACTCCAGGAGATGGCGAGGGAAAATAAAAGTCCACGGGTTATATTATTGATTGGATTGCTTTAAAAGTTGCTCCTGGCACGCAGGGCCTGGTCTTTGCTTCCTCGCAAGCTCAGTGCTGAGAAATCCGCATTTTGGGGAAAAAGGAGGGTTTTTAAAGGGGCACGGCCAAGGGCATGTGGGGTGGCTCTGTCCCCAGCTTGGGTTTTGGTGGAAAAGCAAAAGCAGCCGCTGGCACGGCGGCGGTCATGGATGGAGATGGGCTGAGCGCCGCGGTGCTGGGCCTCAGCCTGGTTTTGGGCAGGCCTCGAGCTTTATTTTGGCCTCTTGGGTGAGCCAAAAAACTTCACCAAAAGCTCATTTTGGTTAACTGAGGGCCAGCAAGCCAAGCTGCCATTTTAAAACCATACCATAAACCATGATGACGTGGTTTGGTAAGGGTTTACCACCGAGAAAATGATGTTTTGTGGCAATATTTCGTGTACAAACCAGCCCTAAGGAAGCCTGCAACTACCAACAAGGGCTTTGTGGAGCCTGTCGTGCCCTTACAGCACCACACCATCAAATTTGGGGACATTATACGCTTCAACTTTGTGTTGATCACAGGCATAACCCCATCACATGCAGGTTTATTTTGGCATTTTCAATACAGCACATTTTAAGCCCCATGAGAGTGGCAACAACTCAGAAGCTGTGTCCTACAAATCTTCCTGTATCCAACATCTTGACCCCTATCACGGAAAGGGTCTCCTATCGCTCATCCTACAACAGTCCAGAGAAAATTTTGGGCTAAAAAATGGGCAATGGCGAAGCAAAAACTTATTTATTTTTTTTTGGAGATCCAGTGGCACCGTTGCTTTCTAGAATAAGAGGGCTGCAACATTTCTTCTTGAGTTTTTTAAAGGCTACTCTCAAAAAATAAGGGCTGAGACCTTGAATGCTGAATTTCAGCCAGTTATAAACGCTTGAAAATAGTGATTTTGAATGGAAATCACTGGCACAATCTTAATAGGAGAGGCTTAAACTGCTGACTTAATCCTCCAGGTAACGACTACTTTAAGTACATTTATTACCTGTCTTCAAGCGTTGGTTCTTTCCCTTTCAAACAGAAGAGCCTTGTTTTACTTTGCTTACACATTTAAGTGAAACGCATTTGAATACATAAAGTCAAGTTATGCCTCCCTGCTTTACACCGCAAGATATCAGGACGATAATTTGATGTTTCTTTAAAGCTCTGGAAAGTTATCTAATGCTCGTCATATGAAGAAGTTATTAAGACAAAACTCATACATCATTTAAAATGCATCAAAAATACATTCAATATTTTTTTTTTCTGGTTTATATACACTTTAAATCTTTCGACGTTCTGCACACTACTGTATAGTTTATGTACAAGTGCAAAATTGGTGTGTTATTTTTCATTTATTTACAGATTCTCCCATGAAATCAGGTTGCTCTTTTTCTCCCCTCACCTCCAAGGGAAAGAACCCCACAAATCCTTCACTTCTGATATTGGCCCGGTGATAAACCACCAGCAGTCCTTCCCCCCATCCGTTCCCATCCTCGTCTCTATTTTACCTTCAAGCTGGGATGAAACTGTTTGCAGCAGAGATATGTATGAGAGTTCTCTTTTTCCCTCATCAGTATGGAGATAAGATGCAGAGCAGAGCTACATCCAAAAGGAGCCGTTTTGTTTGATTTATATAAATAAATCTCGTTCCTCTATTTACATTTTTTTTTTTGGTTCTGCTAATCATCAAAGTTTGATCGTTTTTGCTCGTTTTTTGAATACCTGACACCTCACTTCTGGGCACGTTCCTCCTTTTGAGACCAAACCACCCAGCTCTCTCTGGGGGAAAATCATCCCTGTCCTTTTGGTAACGTGCAAATACATCACCCTCCCAGGCCTGTTGTTCAGAAAGCCGCTTCCTTCCAGGAAAGCAACAGCTTTAAGCACTGCTGAAGTGCTGTCCCGAATACAGAGACTTAAGCACGAGAGTTTTCTTAATTTGGGTTGGCAGATCTCCACCCCAAAAGGGCTGGAGAAGCAGGAGAAGATGTTTTTGAGCATGAGGCTGCGCAGCACAACTGAAAGCACAAGCAGTTAGAGCAGGGGAGGAATTGTAGTCCAGTATTATTTCTCTGGTACAGTCTACTCCAGGTTAGCCCTATACACATAGAAAGTCACAAAATATGTGCAGGAGATGAATCTGTCTGAGGTAATCTGTGCATCAGCTACAACTAAATTGCCTAAAACCCTTCATTCTGAAAGACATCGCTCATCCCTTTCCCCCCACCTCAATTTCTTTTCCCCAGAGGGAGTTTACACTTCTGGTATAGAAGCAGATTGGGGAATATACATACAAACATATATATACAAATATATGTATCTATGCATTTCTCCACCTTATTTTTTCCGCAGTTCTGTTGGATTTGGTAAATGACACACCAGCTCAGCAGCAAAATCCACCGAGATTGCTGTCCCCCGTCACCACCGCCCGGACACACACAGCAGCTCACATCTTTATTGCAATGCCACGCTCCAAAAAGGTTCTTCGAAACACGTACTAACAGAAAGGAACAAGTGGCTGATATGTGATGGATGGATTACCAAAACGTGCACGAAAAAAGATGCAGTTACTTGGGTGGCGTTTGGGGAAAAGGTGCTACCAGACCAGAAGATTGGACAGCAGCTCCCTTCGGTCCCCCTGGTTTGTTGCTTCTCCCTTGCATAAATTCCAGATGTCCTCCTAAGAAACCAGCAATCCAAATGGAACCACACATAAAGTGATTAAGTTATGATTTTGTGCCTCGTTTGGCACATCACATCACCATCATATCTCCTCCACCACCACTTGGCGTGGTCCCAGCACTGCACCACATGCACCCGTCGTGATCCACTGGATCCACCATCAATGGAGACGTCGTGCAGCACGCACAGACAGGTACAGCCCCACCTCGAACCTCCAAACACAATCCTAACTAATTCGCTTTAAAAAGGGCCAGGCGGTTTGACACATCCTCCAAAAGCCAAGCCTTTTTTTTCTAGCTCTTTCCAAATCCCTTCCTTACACCAACAAGCCACCGTCTTCAGCATCTCAGACCTGATCCGAACACTCAACCCACACGGGGAACATCATTTAATCACGGAAAATCCAAACCTGTGGCCAAATGAAGCTGCTCTGCCTAAGTTTTTTTCTTTTTTCCTCGTCCTCAAATGACCTCGCACCCGGAGTGTTGCTTTTTACACCCAGTAAGGAGATGGGACAAGTCTTGCTGCCAAGGAGCAGCGCCTCCGTGCACCGGCACAGCTCGGCTCTTGTCCAGAAAAATGGCCTGAGGGAAAGGGGAGGGAAAGAGGCCAAATGGGCAAAGAAACACAGAAGAAATGTAACATATCTGACCTAGAACACAAGCTGCTTCTATTAAATGCGCCGATGAAGCCAGGAGTTTTCTTCTGAGATACTGAAACTCTGCTTTCCCTCCAGATATTTCCATCTGGCTGAGTAGTTGGTGGGTCAGGAAAATGCTATTTTCCCCTGACTGCACGTGATATATTATAAAGATCACAGATTGCCTTGAGTGACATTCTCTTTCTCTCTGTATATATATATTTAAAAGGAACATAATTATGTTAAAAAGAAATGCGTGTAGTAGTCTCCTCACTCCCTAGATCTGTTCAAGTCTAGGCACTTGTGTGTGGTGTACTCCAAGTAGGTTAAGACTATGTAAACACTGAGTCCTTCAAACAGCAACACTCAGCTCCTCCAGGTATTGCACGTGGTCTGAGCAACACACGACATCACCCTTTAAACCACCCTAGCTCTTGCCTTCCTGACATTGTGGACCATAATTACTACAAAAAAATTGTATCTGGAAGAGAGTTCCACTTAAATAACGCGGGAATAAACATATATATATATCAAATGAAAAGGATGAAGATGCCTTGAAGACTAATTGTAGTGTTTATGTGTTGAGAGCTGACACCTGTAAACACTGCATCTTTTTTTTTTGTTTTGTACAGTTTGATAAATACATGAACTACAAAGCACTTTCCATGTATAAACCTGAGTGTCATTCATTGTACTACTGTTCTATTTACACTGACCATGAACGGTGGGGAACGGATGTTTCTGGACCTGCAATAAAATTATTTTACTTTAAACTCGAAGAGAACAAAGGCGCAATCTGAAGCCACGTGTCAGTAAAAACTTAAGTGGAGCAGTTGTCAAAGAAAGCCGACTATCACGTAGATGAGAGAAAAGGCTGGGTTCAAGGAAGCTGTGTTTTTCTGAGTGCTTCTAGTCTCTTGTGACACAACTTGAAAATCTTCCTCCTCCTAGGTGTTACTTCTCCGTTTTGTGTAAAACCCCATACAGTTTCTGATGTCCATGCATCAAATACAGGTTCCTGGCTGTGCAGGGGGCTGCTGTTTCCGATTTCGTATTGCACCCGATTTCTCTTTGTAGGCAATTGGCATCTGTTGTGAAATGTCCACCAGTGCGCTGGCCACAGCGAGACCTGAGGCAACAGAACAAAACAGTCACAGAAGCAAATTCTTTCACCGCAGCTGAGAAAAACCCTCCGAGCCACGAGATGAATATTATTTTTTGAATTGTTCTTAAGAAAAAGCAAACTAGAAAAGCATTTTGGCTGAGAGATTAAACTCTAGAGGCTACTCTGAAGTAAGCTTTTAAATACTGCATGTTTTATTGAAAGCAACTGCAGTAGAAGAAGCTGGAAATAAGATGCGTGGGTATTAATGGATAAGACACCCATGATATCAAAGGGAGGAGTCTTTCTCTGCACCAGTAAGTGTGCTAGAATAAATGCTCAAAGCACCTGTGCACGGAGGTTTCACTGCACTTCCCGGACATTCCTCTTCTCTGTAACCTCCTCCCATCATATCCATGGATAAACCACTAGCTCACAGCCAAACCATCCCATCCCAAAGCCAATGAACAACTTTTTAAGATCCTCTGCTTAAAAATTTTAGATTACCATCCTCTCCAGGCACTGGAGAAACCCCAGTTAAACCACCAGCTGCCCAGCAGAATAAGTCTCAGCTCTGTGCAGTGAGGTTTAACTGAAGAGGGGCTTGGACCAAGGAGACCTTAAGCTGGATGGAGAAAACCTCACCGTCTGGAGCTGCTAAAACCAGGACATGGATGATTTGCAAGGACCTGATGTCCCTCTATGGATGGAGCAGGGAATGGAGTCAACAGGCTAGGAGATGAGTTATTTTCGTAAGTATCTCCCGCAAACCTGTCCGTAACAGTTTGCACTTTTTTTCCCAGCTGTAAATTAAAGTGTAATCCAAATATCGAGTGTTCATCCACCAACTGACCCGAGAAATTGAATCAAACCTGAGGTAGGAAGCTAGCAGGGGCCAAGCCAGCCAGCTTCAAATCACTTGAGCACATCCACACCAGCTGCGGTGCGGACACAGCAATTACTGCGGGACCAAGTCTGAAACCCCAAGGTGAACGAATCGCTGAGGCTGGGGAAGGAGCCCAGAAGTTAATACCAAGTAGCCGAGGATGTTCCTCACCTGACTGTCCTGGTGGTGGTATACCCCCAAGTCCTCGAGGCAACCTCACGAACACGGAGAGAACGGCAGCTTTGTTGCCAAAGCAGGGCTCCAGCGCTATGGGTTTCGGCACAGTCTGCAGGGAGGGAAGGAAGAGGAGAAGCTGATGTTACACGGTGTGTTGCACCCTCCCTCATCTCCCAGTGTCATCTTTTTTTTTTCGGATCGCACAAGCTCCAGGGCACGAACCGTATTTCTGTGCTTGGACAGCTTCCAGCGCGCAGCTAGCAAAGCTAAACCCAACGTTGCTAACAATCAAAGCCCTAGTCATCATAAAAAACACATTTACTTAATAAAATCCAGCTATTAAGAAGTCAAGCGCTGCGCCAGGCTTGTATTTCTCCCTAAATTCAATAACCAAGGAGCAGTTTACGGCAAACAATGGGATTAAGCTCCGAACCCATCAGCAGCACTATCACAACGAGCAGCACGCCGGGACTCGGGGGTTCAGCATCCATTTCCAGAGCTCAGCTCCGTGTCACAACACCACGGCCCTGCCTGCATCGACACGGAGAACACCACCGAGTCCCCAAACACTGCCTCCTTTCTGCTTGCTTTACGCTGTCCTCACGGTCTTGCCTTTCTGGATTGCAAAGCTCCTGCCTCTGGATCTGGTTTCAGTGAGCACCAGGAGTGGCTACCTATTACTAAACCCTATTTGAACACGACCCTTTTTGAACAAGGTTCCACACTTACGTTGCAAACACGAGCATGAAAATAATTTGCAGATAAAACGTGAATCGATGAGCATGACGAAACAACGGGCGGGCAGCCCTCTCCCACGCCAGAGGAGCAGCGTTGTGGATGCTCCCCTTATACGCTCTGCTCTCCGGTATTAGAGAGACAAAATGCAACAGCACAGCCCAGAAACTAAAATATGGTTTTACCTAAGTCAGGCCCCGATCCCACCCACATTTCTGTGAGATCAGGGTGTCCCAGCAGTCAGCTGAGAGTGCAAGTTTGAGCCTGGAAGCGCAGGATCAAGAGACTGCTTCCTTTTGTTTCCCAAGGAAAAAAAAGCTGAGAACCACTATTTTACCTGATACACGCAGTGAGAGCTGATTTCTTTTTTAGTATGGACAAGCTAAACTCTAGCCTGGTATTAATGAAATAATTATTGCTTTTTTCATTAGGCATTAGGTTGTACTACTGTACTTAAATGCTCAACAGAAACTCGATACGATCCGAGACATTGAAAAAAGGGAACAGGAGTCAAACGATGCAATTAAATTACTGCTGTGCTATAAAGAAAAGAAGGAAAAAAAAAAGATGACAGCAAGTGAAATGAAACATAAAACTGTTTTCATATCTCATATTTACCATAATGATTGCAACAACGATTAGTTGGTCCGTGCAAGGTAGACAAATACCTGTGCTACAGACCAAGAAGCCTGCAGCCTGCCTTGTTTAGGACTGCAGATTTCCACATCTCCTCCCCACCCCCAGCAAAGGGATCCAGCTCCACAAAACGCCTTCCCCGTGAAGCATCCAAGCATATCCTGGTGCTATATCCCACGGGCGACTCAATTACCAGGGGTAATGGAGAGAGCACAGGGAAGGCAACTGCGGAAACGCAGCGCAGAGGCTTCTGGTAGGGGAGCAGGATCCGAGCACAAAGTTTATTTTCATCCAGAGGGATCGTGCACCTTCCTTTCCATGCTGTGCCAATGTGGGGTTGTAGGGTTGGGGTGATACAACAAGTCCTCATGCTCAGGGTGAGCTGCAGAGACGGAGGGAGTAAGCCAGCAGCGAAGCGGTGGTGGGAGGAAAAGTACGACGGAAGAACTGAAGAAGCCAAGAAGAGATCATCTGCTCTAATCTCTTTTTAATGTATTTGCTTTTAAGTCCTGCTGGATTAATCAGGACGCGTCTGCAGCTCTGCTGCTTCCCCTGCTCGAATTGCGGAGCGCGGCTCTGCTTCAAACACGCTCGTGCTCATCATCCTCCAGCCAACGCGGGCAACGGGGGCTTCGAGAGCCTCTTGGGCTCTCTGCATGCAGCCCCTCGCTATCACGGTGCAATGCTCTGCTTCAGAAGCAGTCACTCCTGCCTCTGCCATCACCTCTGGAGACCTTTCTGGGGACTTTCTGCTCCTGGTCCCCGCTGCTCGGACACCAAAGACTTTCCTCTACCCTAAATTCCTTCCCACCTGCATCGATCCGCCAGCTCACGTCCTCCATGCGCTCCCTGCGCCTTTCCCTGCTGTACATCTCAGCCCTCGTTGGGCTCATCTGAATGAGGGATGCTCTGAATCTCTTCTCTGAACACAAATATTCCCTTCTCCAGCTCTCCCAACAGCCCCTCTCCGCTCCCTCCTCTGCTCTTTGGACCGCGGGTGACCTGAGAGGCATTTCAGGCCCCTGCAATGGCATCAAAGCATCCCGAGCCTCCTGAACATGCTAAACAGGTAAGAAAGGGAGTATAAAGTTTATTATGCGGCTCTTAAGTCACAGAGCTGAAGGGGCTTGGAGGGTAATTTAGCTCGTCTCAGCCCCAAGCAGGATCCTTTCTCCTCCTCTGCCCTTTCCAACTAATGAACCCGCAGCGTGCAGCAGAAACTTTCATTACGAGTCCCCACGGGCATGATCTTTCTTTGTTCCATGGGATTTTTAGTTTTATTTCATTCCTCAAGGTCACACGCCTCCCTCCTATCTGTTCCCCCGGTCCCAGCCTGAACCACGAAAAGCTCCCACACGTGTCACTGGTGCTGGAAGAGCCCTGCCCGGGTGGCTGGTGCTGTCCCCAAGCAAGTGACAGCAGACCCCAGCCACACAGAAACCTAAATAAAACCCTGTTATTTGCCTCCGACCCTCATCCTGCCACGTATTTTTAATCTATCTGCAGTACCAGGGATAGCTGGGGGCAGAGGTAAAGGAATTGTTTAGTATTTCACCGCCTGCAGGGCCCTGTTTCTATTTACCATGCAAAGCGAGGACGTACACTTTATAGAATGATGCATCCAGAATCTGTCAGGCAGTCGCGAGCTAATTTGAAAGGAATACGCTAAGAACAAGATTATCTTGTTGCAGCTAATCCCGGTCTTAAATCTACAAGGAAAAAACAGTCTCGTGTCCGTCAAACCCAACCGTTTCCCCGAGACGAGCTGCAGTTAGGAGCTGCAAAAGCAGCACGAGGAATGAACCCCATGGATTTGTTTTTGACAGCAGCAGTTGGGGCACCTGCTTTTTGAACCGTGACTCAGGGCGCATCTCATCCCCGCGTGCCCAGCCCAAAGACGAAGCTCAGCCTGATGAAATGACTCAGGCGCCGAGCGAGGGGGATGGAGAATTCGATGTGAGGTCAGCCGGGAGTGAAGGGCATCCCGTGCCCTCTGCGAGATGCACAACAACCCAGAGCTGGAGCCCGGGGACTGTATTCTGCAGACACAGAGGAGAACACATGGATAATTCAACCAGCAACTTCGTGGTTATCTTGCTTGAAGATGTAACCCACAGCTGGCCTTGCCTCGAGCTTGCTCGTGATTTTACACGACCTATGCACATGTCACCATGGCACAGAGCAGCTAGGGAAGGGCTGGCTGCCTTCCTCGAGCTGTATTTTTGTGGGGAGACCCAAGATCTCCCATCTCCTTCTCCTCCTCAGCCTGTCTCCCTCCTGCCTGGCTGCTGAGCGCTCTCGTTGAAGACCGAAGCTGCTTTTCCACAAGGAGGTTTGGAGCGGGATTGGGAACCAGAGATCAGGTCATTGGAAATGCTCGTGCTTCAGTCTGACAGGTGGCTTTTAATGGCCCACTTAAAAAAAAAAAAGCAGATCTCTGAAGTTTGCAACACCTTTCATCAGATGGTTAAAACCAGCCTCTGCCAGAGACTTTCATCTAGAGTGTTTTGATAAACCCATTGTTGAATTATATAAAGCAATTCCTTTTTATTGAAGGCTTAATGGCACAATAAAGCACACATTATTCAAATCTATGCAAATCAGGTGCATCCCTCAGACACTTGGCACACGCTGAGTGCTTTGCGCAGCGCCTGAACAGCAGCGTCCTGCCCGGGAGGGGGCACAGAGGGGAGAGGCGAGCCCAGCTGCTGAGGATGTGGCCGGAGAGGCAGCTAACGGGGTAAAAAAGATCTCACCTTGGCTGGCACGGGTCGATTTGGACAGCCAAATTGCCATCTGACAGCCCGGCAGAAAGCAGCCGTGCCCTCGGCTTGAGCACAACGAGCTTGCTGCCAGCTCCTGGGCTCAGCAGCAGCAAGAAATGTGCAGCCAGGAGACTTCTGGTCACGATGGAGGGCAGTGAAGGGACGTAGTGCTGACCTGGTGCTGATCTGTGCTAGGAGCAGTCTCCTGGTTTCTCTTCCCCTAAAGCTACCTCCTGTCCTTAAAGCAGTGCTGTGGTTGTGCGACCCCTTTGTGCAGCTGGCGGCCTGAGCCTTTCTCCTGCAGTGGACTTGGACTACTCTTCCACGCCAGCAGAGCTACAATCAACAAAAACGGTGAAAAAAAACTAGGAATTGGGATACTGCAAGCGTCAAACAAAGACCAAAAATGCAGCAAAGAGCTTTCAGCCCGACGCAGAGATTTAAACAGCCTTTAAGAGGCAGCAAGGTGTGCTGCAGCAGCCGTTTCTTAACCAGAAAGCTCTATGCCAAATTTTGCACTGGGCAGTGCCTGCAAACAGGGACTACCCTATTTTGGACCAAAACCCCAAGTTAATGGTATTTTACTAAGCCGTGACACGACCCCATTGTTTCTGGGGGCAGCAATTTTCCCTCGATGACTTTACCGGCCAAAGGCACCACTAAAAAACCCAAGCGATTTCGGTTGTTTACGAGTTTTGATGTATACTTAATATGCGCAGAGCTTAAACAATTACAGAAGTTAAAAGCTGTAAGAGAGCCATTAGGTCGTCTAATTAGGCTGCCTTCTCCAGCAGCGTGTCCCTACACCAACAGTGCTTTTTCCAGGCCTTTTGTCGGGGCTATTTCTAAGTGACCCAGGTGTGAAGCGCGCCGCCAGCTCCCTTGGGAGACAATTTCACAGCCAAACGCTTTTCACAATCAAGTTCCATTGTACAACGTTCCACCTAAAAAAACCTCTTTTATTTTTATTATT